TGAATACCTCTCAGCAAAGGGTCAAATGTCAGTAGCAGTCAATCCCTTCCCACTCTTAGGAGTTATGTATATGTTATGTAACCATAAAGTAATGCGAGTGTTGTGTGCGCTCTGGAAACGGTGTTTTTGCCTCATATTATCATTATTATTGGCCTTCAATTTTTCAGACTATTTATTAACTTTTTTCTTCTTCTCCGGTTCTGTGTGTGTATTATGTGTTATGTATTTACAGTATATTTCGATACCAATTGTATAATTCAGTGAAACAAATTCTGTATATTTTTTCCATTTCGCAATACAACACAACACGAATCGCATTAACATATGATTATAACACAAATGAAATATTATTAGCAGTAAATACTATCTTTGAGAAATAGAAAAACTTATTATTTGAATTTGTAATTCACTGTAATTTCTTTTCAAATTATAAGAAATATCTTTTTTTCTGTTGTAATCGATTAGTTATTTATCTGTTATGTGTTTAGACTTGTATTCAAGATATTTAATACAAGAAATGCTTGACTAGTGTTGTCCAAAGTTAACCGGCTAAAAAATTTTAACCGGTTAACCGGGTTAAAGTCAATGATTTTTTTTGACCGATCGGTTAAAAGTCAAAGCATTTTTTGACCGACGGTTAACCGGTTAACCGATTAACCGTTACGTAATTGATGGTACAGCAATAATTTGTAATAAGTTATTACTATTATTACTAATAACTAACAATTTTAATAAAAGCAGTCATTATTCATTAATAGAGTTACGCCTTTTTGCAAAATAACCCCAAAAGTAAAAATAATACCCTAAAATGTTTGCAAAATACCCTAAAACTAAAGGTATTTTACAAATATATTAGCGCTTAATGACGTCAGCCTGTGAAAAACGGTTAACCGGTTAACCGCGGTTAACCGAGGTTAAAGTTAAAGTCAAAGATTTTTTTGACCGATCGGTTAACGGTCAAACCATTCTTTGACCAGTTAACCGTTTGGACAACACTATGCTTGACTTAATGGCATAATATGTGAGCAACAAATGAAATGCAATATTAAGCAAAAAATAGATGTTTTTGAAATCAAGTTATCGCCGGACTCTCGCTGTGGACCACAAAATCTAGATAAATAATATGCCTGTGAAAAACGGTTAACCGGTTAACCGCGGTTAACCGAGGTTAAAGTTAAAGTCAAAGATTTTTTTGACCGATCGGTTAACGGTCAAACCATTCTTTGACCAGTTAACCGTTTGGACAACACTAGTTGAACGTGTTGTGCTAACACACACTCACACACAGTCTGTATGCGGTTTAGTGTACACTCACTGCACACTCCCATTGCATAACATATTTTTTCGTACAAATAACTAAAAAGTTATTTTACAGTATGTGTTGATGTGTAGTTGGATGTGTGTGGTGTTTTTATAATTAGCTAAATCACCATCATCATATTATTTATAATTGTTATTAGCGTAATAGTAGTTATTACAATTGAATCTATTTAACCAATATGAAAGAGTTTATCATCAGTTCGCTGGGCCTGAGCGATGTGGCCAAAATGGATAAGCGCCAGGTCAGTTTTGCCGGTCCACCACCCGCACTCTCCCTGTCCACCTTGCACCATTTCTAATTTTGGTGACATAGTGGCTACTTTAAAATATTCACCTTGTTTAAATGTGTTTAATTAAATATTTATTTCATTACATGATGATGATTATGGTGTGCGTGTGTGTGTGACCGGCATCGATACCCAGATCCTATACCAGGTGCTCAACTTCGGTATGATTGTGTCCACAGCGCTAATGATATGGAAGGGACTAATAGTGATGACCAATAGCGAGTCGCCGATCGTTGTGGTGCTCAGGTTTGTTACCATGTTTAACATGTACACATGGTTATTAATGATTTTTATAATTGCAGTGGTAGTATGGAGCCGGCGTTCTACCGTGGTGATCTACTGTTTCTCACCAATCACCGGGATGAGCCCATACGGGTGGGCGATATCGTGGTGTTCAAGATCGAGGGCCGCGACATACCTATCGTCCATCGGGTACTCAATTTGCACGAGAAGTACTGTTTTGTTTTTACAATTATGGTTATTTTTTATTTACATGTTTATTAATTTGCTTGTGGTACTTTTTTTGTTGCAGGGAAGACGGTTCCATCAAGGTACTGACCAAGGGCGATAATAACCGAGACCACGACCGGGGTCTGTACGCGCCCGGCCAGCTGTGGCTCCAGCACAAGGACATTATCGGCAGAGCCAAAGGGTTCGCACAATTTGTTTTGTTTTAATTGTGTTGTTTTTATATGCGATTTGTTTTTAACAGTGACTTTATTTTTGTGTTTAATTGCATTGTAATCATAGATATGTGCCATACGTTGGTTACGTCACTATCGTTATGAATGATTACCCGAAGCTTAAGGTAAGTTTAGATGAGAGAGAGAGAGAGAGAGAGAGAGAAATTGATTGAATGGATGTGTTTCTCACTTGTAATCGTTTGGATTCAGCAAATGGTCGAAAGTCTTCGTCATAATTATATAACACATTCCTCGTGTTTGAGGCGCTCTTAAGTGAGTTAACTCTACTGAATGGCCTTCTGTTGATTTGATCCATATTTAACTCGACAACATTTCTCGATAATCGGCTCTCCTTTTTCCGGTGCCTTTAGTTCATACAAATTGAATGGAAACACAAAAAACATGTTTAGTTTTTATTCATTATTAATCGCTACACAAATAGGATATAAATAGTTTTGACTAAATATGAAGCCATACCTCAAATAATTGTAATAAAATATGGAAATAAAAACCATTAGTAGGACAGCAACGGTGACACCTCCGGCAATGCTCGCCGTTTCCACCAATACTTTCTCTCTCGAAGCTATGGATCACAAATAAATCACAATTAAATTCTCACATCTAATTATTACCAACAAAGGAGGAGTTGGAGAGAGAGAGAGAGAGAGAGAGAGAGAAATTGATTGAATGGATGTGTTTCTCACTTGTAATCGTTTGGATTCAGCAAATGGTCGAAAGTCTTCGTCATAATTATATAACACATTCCTCGTGTTTGAGGCGCTCTTAAGTGAGTTAACTCTACTGATGAGAGAGAGAGAGAGAGAGAGAGAGAGAGAGAGAGAGCAGTAATTATAATTTAGATCTAAGAATACTTACGGAGATAAGAGCCGTCCAAGTCCTTGAACTCGCATCTTTGTCCCATATATCCATCGGCACATCTAATAGTTAACACACAAAACAATGTATTAATAATATTGTAATAAAATGTATGAAAACATACAAAACAAAATGTAATTAATGTTTTTTGAGTGTATTCTGGGCTAAAAAATTATATTAGAGAATCGATTAATTGAAGTGAAGGGAAATGCTATGCCTATCATAGAGTGAATGTGTGTGTATTTGATGGTAAGGGTATGGTATGGTGTATATGGTATTGGTTGTGGTAATACATACTCGCAATTGTAAAGTATAGACTCTCCGATCCTGACTGAGAAACAGGTCGCGCCGTTCAGACAATACCACTTTGCGTAGGCTTCAGGACAGGCGTACGTTTGGAATGTGATGTTTGGCCGCGTTGTGGGCGATGGTGGCCGAGGTTTGGGAGTTGACCGACTTGAACACGCTTCTACATTCAGCATACAAACAACATTAGAACATATTATATAATATACTAGATATTAATATATACGTCAAGAATATTATGTTTTATATATTAAATGCATGTATAGTTTTTTGTATTTTCTGTTAATCTGCATCTTATAATTGGTTTGTAATGTCCGACTGAATCATTTAAAAATGACCGCAATCTCTGGTGGTGTTCGCCCGCCCACTACATCCACTACATATACATTGCACACACAGGTATATAGAGGTATACAACACCGGGAGAGCACCGGTACTCTCTTTAGCGCAACGATTGCTAATTGCATTTCTTTATTGTTCATTATGTTTATGTGAAATAAGTTATAATTTTATTTTCTCTCAATTTTGTTGAATATGAGATGCGTTTTGTTGTGCTGAGGATTTATGTCTAATTAAATAATAATTAATACAATAACTCAATATATTTGGTAACAAATAGAAGTGGGGGTGGGATGTGATGGTAGAGAAGCGCAGGTGAGGGGCACCGGGAGAGAGGGTATACACGACTGGGAGGTCAGCATCTATTAAGGGATGCCAACAGACATTTTCAGTGCATTTACACATTTATTGCCTCAACAAAAATCATGAGATAACTATTATATGTATTAATATATACTTTTATATAGGGCTGAGAACCGTCGGAAGCGAGCACTACATGCCCTGTGATCTGCAAAATACCTTAAAGGAAGACGACAGCCCTTCCGTTATAATACATAACATAATATAATATATATTTTGGTCACAGTTATAGCCATATATACACTAAACAGTGCAATACTGTGTATAAGCAAATACTGCACACATAATGTTTGAAGTATACGATACCTATCAAACAAAATACCCTCCATTTACATACAGGTATGAGTAATACATCCCATACTCTTCGTGGGCTTTGAGAGAGAGAGAGAGAGAGAGAGAGAGAATGTCTACAAAATAAAGCAATTTTGTTGTAATTTTCAATCTATTTATACGCTGTTTACTGGCATTTAAACCAAAAAATAAAATAAAATTTGACTGAAAATGTAATGTTTTATTTGCTGTATCATTGAGTGGCAAGAATTTAGTGCTCACTCCACCTGACAACGCAAGAATAGGTGCTCTCATACCCATACATCCCATGCCTTCACAACCAACAATTCTCTCTCTCTCTTCTCCTCCCTGTGCCTCCACTTCACATCAAACACAACAAGTATAGCACATCTTATAGCACATCATCCCATAGACAACAGATCCCCCAAAACACTGACAACACACTAACTGTATGTTACATAATTAATTTCATATTACAATACATGTGTTGCAAACGAGGATATACTTTCTCTCCCGGTCTCTCTCTCTCTCTCTCTCTCATTCTGATTGTGTGCAGAGTTTATGTCAATGAACTCTCCTTTCTATTAATTGCAAATTTTTTAAAGGTTTTCGAGAAAATTGAAACAAAAGAAAAAAAGTTTTCAATAATTTTTCAAAACCATTAATTGAAAATCAAGTGTTTGTTTGAAACGCTAAGACTTTTCAAAGTGGAAAATATGATTACATAACGTAAATGTTTAAACAATATTTATATACAGAAAAAACTTTATAAAAAACTTTTTAAAATGAGAGAGAAAGAGAGAGAGGCCGGGAGAGAAAGTATATCCTCGTTTGCAACACATGTATTGTAATATGAAATTAATTTAATAATAATCAGATTGACTTTTTTTACAGGTTCTCTCCTCCGGCACCAAATGAAACGCTTTAAATACACCATAGATTTGGTGTTTCAGTGGAAAAATTGTTCACAAAACAAATTGGGAGGAAAGAGGATATTGTATGGGAATGTATGAGAGCTCAGGTAAATATCGGAAGTTGACTGCACGCTATGCGCTACACTTTGGGTCTGCATCTGCATAAAGGTCTGCCACACATACATATAATATATAAAATATATATAGATTTATACATACATTCATACCCTTAAACATACTGTACATACAGAATATGTATGGAAAAAGCCATTCAATAAAATAACTTTTAGTGAAAAAGATTATTACAGGAACCGGAAGTAGGGCTCGATGGACGTGGATATGGCTCGGTTCACAGTCTACAACCAATCCATATCACCCAAACATATCTGTCCCCATGACCTCTGGTCAGATACACTGTCTCACTCACTCTCGCCCTCTCCTCCCCCTATCGGTACCGATACAATGGATACCGAAATATTCCGGAGTTAACACACGTATACACACCAGGAATTTCAATCGATATTTCCATTTCATAACCCATTTCGGGGTTTTTTGAAGGACGACAGGGAGGGAGAGGAGGAGGGAGTGGATGTGGGGGAGAGATAGAGATGATATTGAGAGGGAGGGTAGAGAAGGCATTCTCTCTCGTAATAAATACAATGACTGTAATAATCATAACTTATTAAACATAAATTGAATTGATTTGGTAATCATATAATTATAGCTCAAAGATAGCGGTTATTTTGAAGGCAAAACACAGACACACACATAGATAGAGAGGGAGAGAGAAAGTGTTGCCATTAAGACATCGCTGGTAACAGACATCTGCTCCGAAAGAATTTGCACACAAAATATAGTAGTAGTCATCGAAAAATATAATATCCCCTCAAAATTGCCTCAAAAAGTAAATAATAGCAATAAATTTTCGTTTTAAATAGTGTTTTAGGTTTTCATTAAAGTTATTGCCGAAGAAACTAAAAATTAGAAAAATTTTCCCTTGATTTATATATATTTGTTTTCATTAACATATGTACCGAAAGTTTTTGTGCAAATGTAACCAAAATATTGCTCCAAAAAGAGAAATTGAGAGAAAAATAGTTAACTAAATACTGAAAATTTTGTGCATCTGTTTTCGGGAGGCGAGAGAGAGAGAGAGAGAGAGAGAGAGAGAGAGATCAGAACAATAAGATATTATGCAAATCGGTTTCATTTGTATTCAATACAAAGAATTCAAATGTTTAGACATTAAGCAAAACTTGAATATAAGACTGGAATCTCATCTAAAATGAAAAATCGATTTCTGAAGGCTTTCGCCGAATCAAAGAATATGAAATGGATTTCACGTTTGAAATGACACGAAATGAATATTAGATCCAATTCTTGCTTCTCAAAGAGGGTATCAGTTATTCTGGTAATTAGTGCATACAATCTGCTGTTGATTTGTTAAATAAATTTTTGCCATTAAAATGAATACTCGATTATCTTATCCTATATAAAAACACCGAATTTTAATTATCAGTAAATTTAAATAATTTACATTTTGATTACATCTCTATTGATGTATGAAATCATTTAATTGTTTTGATACAAATGTCTATTTCCTGTGTATTTTCTTTACATAATTATCATTAGTTTATGAATTTTATTTATTAAAAAATTAATGAAACATTTAAGAAATAAACGAATTTTGCACAAACGTTAAGAAAATAATAACTTTGTTAAAGTGATTCTCTATAATTCAAACTGTATTTAGTCTTTCTTTCTATTGTTTAACAATTCATTCATTCTTTACTTTTGTATTTTCTTTGCCATCAGAGTCGGTTTCATTTGTATTCAATACAAAGAATTCAAATGTTTAGACATTAAGCAAAACTTGAATATAAGACTGGAATCTCATCTAAAATGAAAAATCGATTTCTGAAGGCTTTCGCCGAATCAAAGAATAAGAAATGGATTTCACGTTTGAAATGACACGAAATGAATATTAGATCCAATTCTTGCTTCTCAAAGAGGGTATCAGTTATTCTGGTAATTAGTGCATACAATCTGCTGTT